TGCAAGGAATCGACACCCTTCCATCCTCCGCCATTCAGTCAGAACTGAAGAAGCTTCTTGGATGAGAAGTAAAAAGGTCTTCAAAGAAAAACCAGAAAGTCCAGTTGCCTCTTGGGGGTGGGTGGGGAATCCTTTGGAACTTCCTACAAAAGCTGACGTGAGTTGAAGACATCAACCATTCCTCCATCTCATCCCCAAATCATAGATGCCCCTCCCATGGGTGGGCTTCAAATAATTTAGCAACCGGTTCTCTGCCCAGTTGCTGGGTGGGTGTGGCCCTAGTGGGTGTGGCTTAGTCGGCCTCCTGCACCACTCTGGGAGTGAAAATGGGCTGCGGGGGGGGGGGCGTTTTTGCCCTGCCCGGGCTCCGGAGGCTCTCTGGAACTTCCAGGGAGGCCCGTTTTTTGCCTTCTCTGAACCTCCACACAGACCCTGCACTTGCTTGTGATCCAAAACTGGCTGCATGGGGTCTCCTTGGAGGGGTGAGATAGGGTGGGTGTGGAACTATTGGTTCGCCAAAGCAGATGTAAAATTAACATCCGGTTTGTCTGAACCGGTGCGAACCGGTAGCATTCCACCCCCTGCTCCCATCCTCATGTTGGTATGGCTTAGTAACTCTCCCCAGTTCCTTAAGGGCTGCTTTTTTGTGATTATCTTTCACAGGTATCCATTACCACTAGCCAAACACTTCTCTAGCAGAGTGTCCACTGGTCTATGTTCTTGTAGTGAGCATTGGACAGATCTTGGCATTTTATAGCCACATCCGGTCTTTGGGCTGTCCCTGTCCAGAATGGGACAACTCACCATGGCCAATTCGCCATGGCCAACTCGCTGTGAGACAATTCAACTTAATTATTTAAAATCATTACAAAATTGTTTTAATTTTTCTCGTTCACATTTCATTTTGTTCCTCCTTTCTTTCATGATTTTATTCCTCTGTTTTTTCAATATTAGCATAACTCTTGTCCTGCAGTGAGTTGGCCATGATAAGTTGGCCGTGGTGAGTTGTCGTAGATGCATCCCTATCTGGCTCGCCGTGAGGTCAATCAGTAATTAGAAATCAAATATAAATAAACGAGCTGGATACCTGTGCTTCGCTATGAAACTATGTGGTCGAGCTTAGTTTTTGGGGAGGAAAATAAGGGGGAAAATTGTGCCTCTGCCTATCAGCATCCATCGGTATTCATCTGGCTAGCGTCAGGTCAGTGTGTGAGAGAGTTGAGAGCTGTTTGGAAAGTGAAACAGTATTTGCTGTGTGAGCAAGAAGAAGACAGCAAGGAGCCTGGGCGTGACTTAGCTCAACTGTTCTGTACTAAAGCTGCTTGGTGCTGTGAAAGTAAAACTGAAACTCCTCTCCTCTGCTTGTGTTTTGCATTTGGAACAGATTTCTTTTCAGGTGGGGAGGGGGAGTAGAACTCCTTAACATCAAATAATAATAATAATAATAATAATAATAATAATAATAATAATAATAA